ACTGTTTTAAATAAAATCCGATGAATTTTTAATTTTTGGGCTGCCATATTAAATCCGCCATTTTGGATTTTTAAAAACGGATTCGTAATCAGCATTCCAAAAACTTTAAAAATGATATATGATGAGGAATTATTATTACGATAGTTAATATGCACCTTAAAGGGTTAAATAAATTTTTCAATTCTAACATAAAAATTTTATTTTATTTTTTATTTCTTTACTTAGTTAATCATATGTTAATATAAAACTTAAAATGCAAATTTTTAGATCAACGTTCAATAAAATTCTAGAAAACAATATAGACCCTTTTTAATAACGGTCGACACCCAAAAACTCAAGTATTGCTGAACAATCACAAGAGGGGAAGCCGATGTCTCTCTCTCTCTCTCATTACTCAGATAGCGATAAATAGGATTGCCTACCTCACTCTATTTCAAGAAAAACAACATTAGATTCTCTCTGTGATCTAACGCAAAAATTTAACGCTTTAACGCAATCATCTTCTCTCTTCTTTCCATGAAAATAACATAAGAATGTCTTGCTCTTGCCTAATTTGCATATCTACTCATTTCATAGTAAGAAATTAGCAATTAAATTCGTTCTTTTATGTTCAATATAATATTCAAATTCTATTTATAAAAAAAAAAAAAAAAATTGGGAGAAATATTCTATCTTTGAAAATTAAATTAATTTTATTTTTTTTTTACTTTCTTTATTGACACTTTTAAAATTTATTGTTTATATTATTATTTTTTTTATAAACTTTTGTTTCGTAGGACTATAGTTACCTTATATAGCTACAATTACTATTTATAATTATATTATTTTTTGGCTCTTAGAAACAAATTTTTTTTTCTTTTGTGCATTTTCTTTCTTTATTATTAATATAAAGATCCAATTCTTTATATTTGCTTCCTCGTATTATATATATATATATATTGTAATATATCAGATTCGCTTTATGGTTTTGCGAAATAATCTTACATCAGAGAAGCTTGCATGTTCATCCTTGTTGTTTTATAATTGTTATTTGTCATGTTACTTTGACCTTCTCAATATACTATAAACTATTTGTTCACTTGATTATTATTTATACATAATTTACAAAAGTATAAGAATTTTGCTTTTTCTGAAACAAGCCACCTACATTTTTACGGATTTCGTAAAACTTGCGTAGTCGTGACCTTCTCGCATCTTTATTTTAGTTATAAAATATTTTTCCAAAAAAAAAAATTATTAATTATAACTATAATTTAATTGAATTTTTATTTGTCCGAAATTCTAAATGGCCAAACAAACAATCGACAGAAAGATTTCGGCGCAAGTTTTAAAATCAACCAATCAAAAATTAACCATAAAATTGTGATTGATTACGTTTAAAAATTGTACCGAAATTTTTCTATCGATTGTTTGTTCGGTCATTTTCAATTTCGGACAAATGAAAATTCTATCAATTAGAAATTTTGTTAAATAATTTTTCGGGTTAAGTATAAATTCTGTAGTATAAAAAATCAATTGTACACGGAAAAAAATAGTTCGTGAAACTTTCGTAAACTAGTTGTTCACTTTTGCACGGGCCCAAAGTTTGAAAATCTTTCATTAACTTTTTCCAAGATTTCACAAACGTTCATCACTCTCTTCATGACAATCAATGTCTGCGCACGCGCACAAAAAAAAGTTTGTGGAATCTTGAAAAAAGTTAATGAAAGATTTCCAAACTTTGGGCCCGTCCAAAAGTGAAAAACTAGTTTATGAAAGTTTCGCGAACTATTTTTTTCCGTGTATGGAAATTCTATTAAATAATAATTCGAACAAATGAAAATTCATCTAAAAAAAAATTCTATGAAATGAAATTCTACCTAATAAAAATTCATTTAAATTGCTATTAATTTGATAATAATTTAAATTTTATTGAAATTTTAAATTAAACTAAATTTAATGATTCTGATTTTGTAAAAGAATAAAAAATTATTCTCCCGCGGCTTTTATAGAAAGAAATGAGTCATTGCAAAGAGTTTCTTCTAAGCAAAAAAGAAAAAAAAAAGATACCGTTTTATAAACTCGGATTTGAAAATGATTAGAATAGAAGTAAATTGTACTGGGAACGCAAAATGAATGTTGATGTCCGATGGATGGTATATATATATATGTAAAGTTGATGTGGGTGTCTCTCTGTTCTCAATATTCAAATGAGTCCGCGACGGTGTGGCTGGTATTGAAATTGGTATTGAATATTGGTCGCGCCCACGGAAATCGCATTTTAGTTATGGTAGTAGTGACAGGATAACCTGCCATTGATGAGTATATATGGCTAGAGATGAAGGTGGTACCGAATAATCACAATATAGCGAGCAAGGTTACAAAAATAAATCATCTAAATATAGTAAAGGGTCACACGCAAGTCGTTGCACGATTGCAATCATTAGGGTTATAATAACAAAATATATTCCTTTTTTATATTGCCTCATTCTTGTCTCTCGATTCTTTTTATATTGAAATAAATCAATTTTATATAAGTCTTTACAATAATAATTTCTATTTATAGAAATTGAAATTATTATTGTAAAGATATATATATATATAGTGGATGAAATTAATTATTTTGTAGATAATGATTTTATATATTTAAGTTACTTTTTTTGTATTAATTAAAGTTTAACCCTTTGAGGGGCACATTATTCAAGCAGAAGATTTGGCTTGAAACTCGTTACTCGGGGGGTTTTTGGGGTCGCTGATTACAAATCCGATGTCAGTTTTTCAAAATTCAAAATGGCGGGTGAAATTTAAAAAATTGTCAAGATTTGGCTTGAAACTTGTTACTCGGGGGTTTATGGGATATACTGTGTAATCAATAATATTTAAATTTAGAAAATTTCATTTTTTGAATAATTAAATGTTTTCAATATTAAAAACTTTTGAAATTCAATTTTTTGTCTATTATTTCTAATAAAATTCTTTATTAACAGAAATCATAATAAATTTTCAATTAAAAATCACTTAAAGTTTAAAATTCAAAAATATGAATATTGTAAATCTTTAAAAATTGAATTACTTTTAAAAAATGTTATCTAAAATTATTTGATAAATTATTATCAATTCCGTAAAATTTCATTATTGTGTGAAATTTAATTATTTCTAAAAATTTCAACTATAACTCTTCCAAAGTTTAAATTATTTTTAATAATTTTAATATTTCTTTAAAACCTTCAATTATTTAAAAAAGTTTCAAATAGAAATTCTAAAATTGAATTGTTTTCGGATTTTTTTTTTTTTTTTTTTTTAGAAATTTGTCCTACTTAATTAAAATTGAGGAATTAATAATATGGATTTATTATCTAATAACATTAGTTATTTAAAGTAAAATGCTTTTTACTAATTGTAAGTAAAATACTTTTTTTGTGCCTTAAAGTCGATTCGAGGCCTGTTATTATTTAATTGATTCATTATTTTCAATTTTTTTTTAAAAAAAAGCTTAAAATTAATAGTTCTGTAATTTGTGAAATGTTAATTTGTTATTTATGTTTTAATATTATTATTATTAATATATTCTTAAATATGAAACAATTGATTTGCGAATGTTGATTTTTATTTAAAATAATAACTGATGAATATTGGAAATAATTTACGATTCAAGTTTATGTTGAAACTAAATAATCATCATTGACTGTAATTTGTTTAGGCCTGATGTATTAATGCTTTTCAAAATGATTAATGTAATTTTTGTCATAAATCATCTAATAACGCAGTAGGTGTCTACCGTCTACATTAATTAATTAAGATCAAACTCTATGGGGAATATATCATTTAATTTAGACACTTGATTCTATAAAATAGTTGAGATTAATTGTGAGAATAATTAACTGATGTAAAGGTCAAATTTTGTAAAAATTTTTACTAAAAAATTGCAAAAAATTAATTATTTTTTTTTTTTTAAATATGAAAATATAAAAAAAATCTAAGTCTTAATTTAATTGTTAATAATATTTTTAATAATAATTATTATATGTTATATTCTCAACTTTGCTGATTATAAAAAGAAAAAAATATAGGCGATATAAAAGTGAATGATGCAAGAAGAATTTTTTTGTGAAACAATAACTGAGAATTTCATTATTTACAAAACTCGTTATGAATTAAATGATAATGAATATTCATTTGTGCGCATTGGAGAAAGTCTCTTCTTTTGTCGAAAGTCGTTGATATATAATTGAAGAGACTGAATATAATGACACTGACCTAAAATTACTTTATATATATATATATATATATGTTGTCATCTAAAATTATTTTGATTCCTGTCATTTATCTATATCAAACAAGAATAACCCAGAATCAAATTTGTAGACCTTGATCCAACTAATTGAAGGTTTCCATTTTTTTATAATAATAATAATAATAATATATTTATAAATTGTCATTAATTTAGAGCAAGATTTCAAAGGGACGAATGAATTTCCCATAAAAATCATTTGTTTAAAAAAAAAATGTTATTAGATATATTTATTTTTTTTTTTACGAATATTCATTTTTCGAATTAACATTCGAAAGAATTTTTTTTTAAACAAATTTTTACTTAACAAAATTTTTAGGTACCGAATTTTTATTTGTGCTAATAAAAATTTTGACAAATTAAGATTCAGTAAATTGAAAATTTTGGCATTTAAAAATTCGAATTTCTTAAAATTCTGTTGAATAAGAATTTTGCTTAATTAATATTTGGTTAAATTAGATTTTTTAAATTAAAAAGTTGAGTAAAAAAAACTTTTGTAAATCCGTTAAATGCTAATTCGAAAAATAAAAATTCATCTAAAAGATAATTATATCTAATAAAATTTTTTAAAATGAAATTTCTAACCATTAATTTTTATAGGAAATTCATGCTTCAAAATTTTTTGTTTTTTTTTTTCATTTTTTTGAAATTTATACATTTCTGGGGAATTTTTATTGAAAAAAAAAAATACTTTTATAAACTCGAGTGAAAATAATAATTTTTATTTCAGACTTGTTGAATTATTTATGAATGGATGGAGGTTCGACGGAGAAGTTGGGTGGAATCGGACAGAATCTGGAAGATTCGGTAGGATGGAGGACCAACTCCAGAATTGCAATCTGGAGCTTTGTCCTCTTCGGTTCCCTCATCTTAAATGCCACTCTCCTCCTGGCCTTTGTCAAACGTCCCGGACTTCGCACAATTTCCAACAGGTAATTTTTATTTAAAAAAAAAAAAATTTAATTTTTATTTTTAATAATAATTTTAATTTGAAAATATTCCAGATCAAACGGTGTATAAGAAAAATAAATATATTTTTTATGTAATTTTTTTAAAATTATATACATAGTTATAATTACGACTTTTTGTTGTTTATTCCTTATATACACTTTAAATTTGAATTAGTAAACATTTTAATTAATTCGAATTAATGATTGACTTTTAGCTATGAATTTATTTTAAATAAAAATATTTTTGATGAAATTTGTAAAAGAAAATTTGCTTTTTTTATGTGGCAAAGTAGATTGAGTGAAAGTTAATATATTATATACAAGGAGGTGGCTCTGCCAAGATATATTTTCGCTTCCTTATTATATATAGCGAAAAGTCAATTTCCTGACAGCTTTCCATTTCATTTTCCACGTCCGGATTAAACGCTTTGAAAAATTCATTTTCTTTGCAAATTACGATAACATTGTTTTATGAACAAAAAGACATTTTTTTTTAAACTAAAAGATGTTATCTTTTTTTTTAAATTTTTAATCTTGAAATATAATTTTCAATCTTTAAATAAAATAAAATTTTTTGTAAATTTTACATATTTATTTATATAATATGTATTATAAAGTAACAACTTAGTTTTTTTTTTAAATTTGAAAAGAGCATTGAACTATATTTATTTGTCTGAAAAAATTATTTGTGCGAAATACATATAAATATTCCACTAATATATAGAAATAAGAATTTAGTTGAAACAGATGTTTTCCATCGTAACAGAAATTCGCAATTTGACGAGAGATTGAAAGTTTAAATAGAACATTTACTTTTGAAATATATGAAGAAATTTGAAATCAATGGCCTTTGCTGTCTCAAATAGAAGAAATGTAAAAAGATACAAAATGAGAATCTCGTTGAGATTGAGAGAGACGGAGAAAGAAAGCTTTTTCTCGACACCTCACGTCCGGTTCAAACTTCAAAATCAAAAGAATACAAATTATATTTACCTCGCGCGGTCCTTGTGACCTTGTCATTCACAAAAATGAACTCGAATTTCAATTTTTACGTGATTTTTTTTTGTTAAAAATACTGAAAAAGTTTACTGATATATACGATCAGAGAAATATTGTTTTGATTTTAAAAAGTTTTCTTTAATTTTAAAAAGCTTTGTTCGATTTAAAAAAGCTTTTTTGTTTTTTAATACACTTTTTTTAATTTAGATAAAATTTTCTCTAATTTTAAGATTCTTTCTTTGAATTAAAAAAGCGTTTTTAATTCAAGAAATACTTTATTTAATAAAAGAAATACCTACATTTTTTTTTATGAAAAAAATTATTTCTTTCGTTAAAGAAAATTTTCTTAACTAGAGAGAAAAGATTTCTTTGATTTAAAGAAACCCATTTCTTTGACTTGTTTTCTTTCATTCAACATAAAATTTTCTTTGAAACAAAAAAAGCTTTTTAGTTTCAAAGAAATTTGTCCATTAAATCAAAGAAATTTTAACATTGATATAGGGTCAAAAAAAAACATTTATTTGAATCAAATAAAAAATTTCTTTGAAACGAAGATAATTTTTTTTTTTTTATCAAAGATATAATTTATTTAAAGCAAATAAATTTTCTTTGTATCAAAGAAAAATTTGCCAAAGAAATCATTTTTTTTTGGGTGTATGTTAATTAATATTTTAAATTAAATAAATAAAAAAGACGAAAGAATTTCTTTTTTATTGAAACATTTTTTTTACATGCAGTTATATATTTCAAAGTGAATGCATATTCAAATAAATGTTTTACATACACATACACACACTTCCTTGTGAAATGTAGTTTAGTCTAAAAGTGTCTTATTGTAACTGTACAGTTTGTAGTTAACTGCAGTGAAACTTGCTAAATAATTTATTGTAGTTGACCCGAAAGTCCCTTTCCATACGAAACGATGTATTATGGTTTGTAATTTTATATACATGAAACAAAAAGCACTTTATATTCAAGAAATGAGCTAGATATTAAATAATTAAAATTTAGGGATGGGAAATCTAATTATAAATATGTTTTTTTTTTCTTAAAAATTAGAACAAAAGTCAAATTGAGAATGTAAACAGGTTCAGTTTATTTATAGGTATATTGTATAATATATGTTACCCATTTCGATAAGGAATTTTATTTGTTTTTAAGTGTTAGAATAATTTCTCCATTTAATTAGTTATGATAAATAGTTATTTATTTAATTTTTTATTTAATATTAAACGGGTTATGATGATAAATATCTGTTACATTAATTGAAATTCATTAATAATTATACAACCTAATTAACTACATTTTATTATTTAAAAAAATAAATAGATATAGTTAATTCAATTTGAAATCAATTCCAAATTTTCATTTGTAACCGAAAAGTTAAAAAAAAGAGTCTAAAACGCATTAGCTTTTGTAAACATTTGTTCTATATATTGTTAGTTTTGCTTCCTCGTGGAGGAAGCATTTTTATTTATTTATTTTAGGATATTTTTGTTTATATCGAGATTTTTACAATAAATAAATTAAATAAATAAATGCTTCACTTTTCACTGATTTTTTTTTTCTTGGACTCAAAGAGTCGATTAAATAATTTACTCGAAACTGTTCTCGAACGTCATGTAAATTAATTTTATTATATATGGAACATTCCTCAATCAAATTTGCAATAATTTGATAAGTTGTTAGAGGTGTGAACTTTAGCTTTTAATATCTTTAACAGCTGACAGTTATTTCCCAACGTATTTCACAAATCACTTTACGTCATCTTACTTAATTTTCCTTAATTTTTGCATATCTTCAAATTTTGTTTGTTCATAATATGAAAAAAAAAATATATGATAATAATATATATTTATTGTTTCTTAATATACGAAAATGGTTAAAAATATTCATTTCCAATAATTATTTAATTTTTTTATTTAATCTTTTACGTCCCAGAAATATTATCAAAGAGAAGTGAAAATTTTTTTTTTTTTCATAATTTTTTTTTATAAACAAAAAAAATCTTTTTCACTATATTTATAAATAAATTTTTCATTATATGAAAAAAAAATATATATTAGCATAGACAATATTATTGTGAAATTAAAGAAAAAATTTTTTTTTATGTCATTCTTGACGCAGTCTCTTTGTGCATTGACGTTATCCTTTGAAGAAAATATAGAAAGAAAAATTGGCAGAGTAGACTTATCTCGAACTATTTGTCTATTATTAGTGAATGATGAAATGTCACTTATTTTTACAACTTTCTTTATTATTTTAACTTTATATCTATTAAAATAATAATTATAATTTTCAAAAAAATATCGCTTTACGATCAAACTTATAAATTATTTTCAAATTAAAAAATTATATTATTGAGAATGAAATTAATTTAAAAAAATTGAATATATATTTAAAAAAAAAAATTCATCACCATTAATAAAATAGAATTTCGAATTTATATTATACTTGCAAATAAATATACATATATTGTAGGTATATACATATTTCATAACATATTTAGATTGGAAAAAAAGTCAACTTTTCGCGGAATCATTTGTCTCGGCGCGAGTAAAGGAAAATATTATGTTGCAAAATAATCTTCTCTTCATTGAAATTCAAAACATCGCACCCGTGTCATTTGATGATTCATCATTGTGTTAAATCGCACACACTCACACATGTATATATATAATACGCCTCGTTTAATTTTCATCTATGGTAAAAAGAAAGAGAACAAAATTTGCAATTTTTTTTTCTATTTAATAAGAGAAAATGATTATCATGTGGTTATGTTTTGAACGTGTGTCTAAAATTATTTGTAAATTTAAATTTCTTCGTTTCCGGTATATATATAATGTTAGTTAACCGCAATAACGCTTCACTCCTTTTGGTATATTTAAACTTTGAAAATCAAGTACCAAATGCTGCCAATAAAAATAAGCTTTCGTTTATTACGAAACATTTTTAAAGCTCACAATCATATAAAATCTCTTGCAAAAAATTAATCTTCTTCTTTATTACATTTCTCCAGAGATGAAAAAAAGCCGAATTATTGTTTTTATGATTCTCAGAGATTGCAATTTATATATAAATGCGTTGGAGGCGAAAAAAATTGTATTTAGTAGTGACATACAATATGTCAATTTATTGCCGTTGATTAATTAAAAAAAAATTTTTTCTGTAATTTAATTTTCATTATAATTATTAAAAAAAAATATAAAATATTTAAATAATTATATTTTGATTTCTCGAAAACTATATAAGTCATATTATTATGATTTTTTTTTTATTCAATTACTTTAGGTTTAATCTCGATGCCACACTTATTTTTTTTCAAATTTGGAAATAAAATTTTTTACAGCTTTCTATATTACCGACCGGTTAAAAAAATTTAACTACATGTTAGTACAGCGTACCACCTAACGTGCGCTAACAGCTGGCAGTATCCAGTTACTGTTAATTTTGCAATTATTTCTTCTCTCAATTTTCACCACTCCATTTTTTTTTGTTTTTTCATCAACAAATTAATGCAAAATTTTCAAATAATATTCTCTATATTGTAATAAATAATATTTTACTTATAATTTCGGAAATTTTACACTCAGAAAAAAATTTTCTTGTAACAACCAAATTTTTGTTGAATCAATCAAAAGTATTTATTTGATTCAATCAAATTCCTTCTTCATTCGAAAAATTTATTTATTATTATTATTATTTACTCTTATTATTTATATTAAATAATAACAAAACATAACCTCAATCATGGATGTACTCTGTTCAAGATTTGTTATAACAATTTTTGAACAGAGGATATCTATGATCGAGGTTATGTTTTGATATTATTCCGGTGTAAAATTTGGGGAAAATTATTTTAAAAAATTATTTAAATTATTAATATTATTATTTAAATTATTAAAAACTATTTCCAAAATTTCAGCAATCGGCAATACTGTGGCATTTTGTTTTGAAAAATTTTTAAATTTAATTGTTTGGAAATTATTGTCAGTTTATTCTAATTTTATGTTTATGTAGAAAATAAAGAGTAAATAAAAATCTTATAAAATGAATTTTTAATTAAAAAAGACGTCAAAATTCTCCGCCCGTGTAATAAATACAGAGCCCAGTTTTTTTTTCTAAAAGAATTCCTACGTAGAATTAATTAATGATAAATTAATGGATTTTCAATATATTGTTACGATGAAAAATTTTGATAAAAAAAAAATCCACGAATAGACAGAGTAATTTTCATATTATATATCGTAAATTATTATAATCTTGTTCAAATGCAATTGATCGTGAAAAAATTTACTACATCAGGAAGAAATATAATAGTGAGAGTTGATATCGATCTCTATATATGTATACAAGATGATCTTGATCACTTGACACGCGATCAGTTTCACGTGTTCAAAAGTAAATTCTCTCTTCTTTATAAAAGGCCACAGAATCAAACATGTTTTAATTGCACATTCAGCAGGTCTAATAAGTTAAAAGTTTTTTCTTCTTCATTCCATTTGTGCGTAGGGAAAATGGTGATTAAGCTTCTCAAAGCAATTAATTAATAAACGACATTAATTTCTTTGTTCTTCGTGTGTATTTCCCAGCTTATTCATTCTGCCACTTTACCTAACAGTCGCGAGCTATTAATTATCAGAAATATTAGTAACAAAGCAATGTGCAAAAAAACACCGTTGATTTATTGCCGACATTACTGATTATTAATAACGCGGTGATTCTTTTTTTTTTGTCTGGTTATTATTATTTCATATAACAGAATCCTTCGAGGAATATGACGTCTCATTTGTCAAATAATTTTTTTTCAATTAAAAAAAATTATTTCATTAAAATGTAATTAATTTTAATTATTATTTTTTAATATTTTTTTTTTTTTTTTTTTTTTTTTTTGAAAATATTGAAATTGATTTAAATAAAAAGAAAGTTTATTATATAAATTAAAATATATTTTTTATTAAAATTATTTTCTTATAATATTATTAGTGATTTCAAATATTGAATTATCGATTCGTTTAGATATAAAATTATATAGTAGAATAAAAAAAAATGAAACTAATTTGAGGCAGGGCTTCGCTTAGCAATGGCTTCTTTGCGAATGCGGAAACGAGATCTCGTTCTTGTGATGGCCTCTGAACTAATTGTTATTTTCATAATGTCGTCGAGTATGCACTTGAAAGGTCCAAACGACAAAAAAGAGAGCAAATAACATTTCTTGTATATATAGTAATTTTCTTTATTTCACAAAGAGCCGACAACATTTTATTAGCAAGAATTGAAAGAAGAAATGAAGAAATTCCAATATAATGATTTTATGAATCATAAGAATCATCAAAATTTATTCAATTTTTTTTTTTTTTCTGTGGCGATAATTTCCGAGAGAAAAATAATTGTGTTTTTTTTTGTGAAGATTAAAAGAATTCGAAATATTTGAAAATTGAAAGATTAGGTAAATTTTTTTTTTTAAATTAATAATTTAGAAATATATATTTCTTGAAGTAATAAATGTTTATTTACTTTTTTTCAGATTTGTAATGAACCTGACGGCATCGAATTTATTGACATGCGTCTTACTGTGGGTACTTGTCATTCTCAACGATACAACGTCATCATACACACAAAGCCTCTGCGTAATATCCGAAGGTGGAACAGCCCTATTGACAACATCATCAATTCTCACAGTTCTCTTCATTGCCATAGATCAATATTTCGCCGTTGTCGATCCACTTCGTTATCGGAGTCGTGTCGACAAAATAAAATGTGGACTCTTAATTGCAGCAGTTTGGATAATTGCCACGATATTTGCATCTCTCGCAGCATTCAATCCAAGTCCACGTAGCATTTGGCAGAGTTGTACTAAAATTTCAAATTTTCCCATTCAATCGTCATTCGATAATTCCACTGTTTATCTTAATTTAACAGACTATGATGATGATCGAACGGAATCTCCAGGAATTTCGACAACCGATGATGATGATGATAATAATTTTGAAATTGATTTTGATGTAACACTCGAGGAATTAGAAAAAACAACAGCTGAAATGAAAATTAATTACATGGAAAGCTCACGTGATTATGATAAAACACTTATTGATCAAATTGAATTCGAATCAAATTTCACTTATGGTCTTGTTTATTCAATAACATTTGGTATATTCATCTATCTTATACCATTTATCACTGTTTGTTGGATTTACATAAGGATTTATTCAGCGGCAAGAAAAAATTCCGAAAGAACAAGACGCACTGGCTCAAGACCAATTCTTTCATCGGGAAGTTTTTGCGAAGAATATTGTCCCATTAAACATGAGATTAATGAGGAAATACGTAAATTACCGAAAATTTCGAGTCTCTCGTCAATTGATGAGAATAGTGAACCTAGTCAAATAATGACCCGCAGCAAAAGTTCAGAACTCGTTAATTTATCATCGAATATACAAGATGAAAATCATCAACTTGCAGCAGTGATATTCACCGTTGGATCACAGGATGTTGATTCTCATCAGCTTGCTGAAGTCGATACCAAAGATAATAATACAACATCAAAAGTTCCTATTGCCAGTTTAAAGGCCAAATTCCTAGGACACAGGGAAGATAAATCATTGAATTCAATTGATGAACAATTATTGAAGAGTAAATTTCCCGAACTTACCGAACAGAGGAGAAAATCATCCCATGATCTCATGTACGAGGAGATGATACTCAAGAGAAAGTTGAGCTGCATAAGTGATTCTTGCGAGGAAAGCAGTGACGAGGAAATGATCTCTTTTATGAGCAACAAAGAACTCAAAGTCTTGAATTCCTTTCATCATCATCATCATCATGAAAATGAAATCGAGAAAATTGATTCACAAACAAATTCCAATAATATATTTTCAAACGATCAAATGTCAAATAAAATTATTTCAAATAATACCAATAATGAGATTTTAATTGAAAATTCGAGATATTTGAATGTGACATCAAATGGAATGAAATCTGCCGTTAAATGTAATTCAAAAATATCACTCGCCTCAGCAAATACTGAATCATCGTCAGCAAATTTATTATCAACTCCACAAAATACACCAATTGTCACAATTACACCGCCATATAAAGTTCCTCTTTATCGAATCTCAAGTATTCGTAGTACATCAAGTTACATTAATTCATTGAAATATAAAATTAGTAATGGTTCAATATTTAAATATCGAGAAGAGACACGAGCCGCTAGAATAAGTGCACTTGTGATAGTTATGGGATTAATTTGTTGGACACCATATGTTGTTGTTTTAATAATGGGTAATTTAACAGATGAAAATTATTTAGATCGACAAAATTTAAATGCATTTGTCCTTAGTTTTCTTGTACTATCAACATTTGTTAGTCCATTATTGTTTGGCTATCGTTCGAAACGTGTTAAACGTGAATTGAGAAAATTCTTTTGCTTCAAAAAGGAACTCTCGTATAAAAATAATCGAAGTTTAATGGCCAAAAAGGTACTTAAGAGGCGACACAGCGGAAATCTTAGTCAGTTTGAAATGGAGTCCAAGTATAATATATTGAATTGCGTTTATGGAAAGACCAAGTGGCCAAAGGATAAAGTTCAATTTGTTCAGGTACCGGAAACTGCTTTGTCAGTTGAGACGTGTAGAAGTAGCTTTTCCAGTGGAGCCAGCACTCAAATTTCGAGTACTTCGACTGATGAATGTTGATTCTGCTCTTAATTCTTCCTTCTCTCTCTCTCTCTTTCTCTTTCTTTTGATATTTGGAATTTTTTCAAAGAAATTTATTTTGTAAATTCGACGTCGATTTTTTTTGTTTTTTTATTTCAGTCAAATTTTATTTATCAAAATCTGAATTTAATCGAATTTTCTATGCCGATTCTTCAGTTTACTGAATTTTTATTTATCAAAATAAAAAAAATTGCAAAATAGAAATCTTAAAAACATCTTAAAGAAATTAAATTGAAAAAAAAATTGAATATTAAAAATTAGATAAATTGAAATTTTGTTTTTAAAAAATTCTACTAAATTTGAATTCTGTTGAATGGAAATTCTATTAAATAAAAATTTACTAAACTAGATAATTTGTTACAACAAATTTTAGTTAAATAAAAATTCTTTTTAAATGAAAATTTGGTTGAATAGAAATTCTACTTTATAAAATTCGATTTGATATAAAAATTCAACTTAATGAATATTCGAAACACGGAAAATATAAACTATAATGTTTATTAAGGGCATATTTTTACGTTCCAATTCGACTATAAATTAAATTTTTTTTTAAATTTTTAATTTAAAATAAAACGAAATCAATTAAATTAAGTTTTTATTCAATTTCAATGATTTGAATAAATTTTTGAATTAATTCACATTATATGAAAAAAAGAAAAAATCTTTTAATTTTAAAATAATTAAAATGTCATTAAAAATTATTAAAATTTATTCAATTGAAATTAAATTTTTGAATGAATTTACATTTGTTTGGGACTAATTCAAATTTAGAGAGGAGGGAGAGAGAAAGAGAGAGAAAAGAAAAATTACATTCTAGCAATTAAATTCGAGGCAAAAAGGAATTGAAATTTAATGATTTTCTAATGAACCCGAATGTTTTCTCGAATTTTCGAACTATAAAAGACTGCCAGAATCTCGTTATAATGAGTTTCTTCAAATTATATCGTTTTAAAATTGACTATTATCATAATTAATTTTTTTCAAGAAAATTTTTTTTTATTGTCAACTAAAATTAATGAAAGTTTGAAAATATTTTACTATTATGATTTATTGATAATTTATTTTGAAATAATTTTATTAAATTTTAATAAAAATTAATTGAATTAATAATTATCTTAATGGGATTGTCTAAAAAAAAAAAATTTAGTTTCAATATTTTTTTAAATTAAATTTTGAAGTTAAAATATCAATTTGAAACGATATAATATGGATTAACTCATGTTATTTTACTTTTCCATGACATTTTTGTACAGTACTGTTTAACTTTAGGAACTATTAGAATAAGTACCGAACTTTATTAACTATAAACTTAGAAATTGAAAATATTTATATATAATTGTGACAAGTAAGAAACTGATGTTTCTATAATATATATCTATTTTTTTTCCCCTTTGGCCATTATTCAAGAAATATTCCGAAAAAAAATCGATTTCAACATTATTTTCAATTTAATTTATAAAAAACTTATTAATTTAGTTATTTAAATTAAATTATATATATATATATATCATTTAGCGAATTACTTCGAATGTTAAAAATAAATAATATATATTTATTTAAAAATTGAACAAATGAAAATTAAAAAATTAAGAATAATTCATTGATTGTTTATTGAAAATGGCGCAATATTAGTTTTTTTCTTTTGATGAAAATTAAAAAATAAAAAAAATAAAAAAAATCCCATAAAAACTTAACTTGTAAATGTATATTATTAATGACAAAAATGACAACAAAGAGAACTATTCATATAAATTATTATAAAAAAATATTACATAAATAGAGAGTTGGTGCCTAGGAAGAGTGCATGAATACTTGATTTTTTTTTTGTTTTTTTTTTTGTGAAGAATAATAGTTATTAGGAGTGATATAATAATAATAAAATAATAATTATGGGAATTAAAGCCCCATAAAGCCGAGGGTATTATGAGAGTGAATGAGAGCTTTATCTGTTAAGCGCTACTTCCAAAAGACTTTATAACAAGCTAACTTCATTAGATATATATTATATATATATAAATTTAAAAAAAAAACATTTTTCTACCTTTGGCTGTTCCAGACATTTTCTTCGTATTATATTATTAGATTAATTTAAGGAATCATTATCACTGTAATTATTTCGTCAAAAGCTGTATATTTTGCATTTTCATCAACTTCTTCTCAAGAGCAATGTTTCCTGAAACGAGCATTTACCGTTATATGTATACGTATTTTATCATTAACCTCTTCAAGAAAAAAAAAAAAAAACTAAAACAAAAAAATTAGTGTATGGTAAAAAGAATGATAAAAAAAAAAAATATATATATGTAATTTTTGCGAGATAAAAATAGTAAACAATATAATATATTAAATGGAAATGTAATATTTTTATGAATAGATAATATATAGATATTATCAAAAATTATAATATTATTAAAATATTAAATTTTTTTAAAAAATAGAAATTTTCTTGAAGAGGTTCGAAATTCCTTTAAATACGAAGCCATTTATAAAAATACAATTGATTCGCACAATGCAGAGTATTTTTTTTTCTTTGTAAATAGATTTATATTTAACACAGCAAGCATAGCCACGATATTTTTTTTTTCTGATACTATTTTGTACATTACAAAGATTGACGTTTATTTATATTAAATAATATGTTAAAAAGAAATATATATATATATACCATCACTAAACGCAAATCGCAATTATTATATTGATCTCTTTCATATTTTTCAAGATTTTTCGAAATCAATATATACTCTTTTTTTGTGTAACATTTTTTAATGAACAAATTTTGTCCTGTGATCGGAAAAATTTCTCTATTGATGCGATATTGTTATTGTATACAAGAATGAGAATTTTTTTATTTTTTAATTTAGAAATACTATTTTAGCAATAGAGAGAGAAAAAAAATGTAGAAAATAGAAAAATTATTTATTTTCGAAAAAGAAACAATTACTGAATACTCATTTAGTAAATTTCAAATTTTACCGATCAACAGATAAAGTTGAAAATATATTTACATCTACTAAAAATAATTATTATTCACATTTAAAATAATTGGAAATTATATTTATAATTATTTTCTTTTCTTCTATTAAATAAATTTTAATTTTCATGTGGTAATTTTATATTAAGAATTTTTTAATAATAAAATAAAAATTGAATTCTTTTTTTAAAGAAATTAATTTTTGATGATTTAATTGAAAAAGAAAATTATTATTTACAAAGTAGAAGAAAAAATCTTTTTTTTTCATATATAATTTCTATTTTTAAATGTGAATATTATATTTTGTATAAAATAAAATTTATGAAAAGTTTCAATTTTGAGATTCGATATACTTGATTTCTGAAATTGATTAATTAAATATACGATAGAAATATTTTTTTCTTTCTTCTGTCTTCGTTATAGTTTCTGATTTGTGATAACTCTCGTAAGGGCAACATGTCAGCCTTGATCATTATTAATTTATGCGAATTTCATAATAAAATATTATTTCAAAACTTACAACTGTCTCTTTAATATTATAAACGACGTTTCGTTGAATCCTTATCGCGGATAATTGCATTTAAAAAAAAATTTGGAATCGAATTTCAAAAGTTGATTATGTACCAATCAAACGACATTTTTCTCATTTTATTTTTCTTGACATTATATATTTATTTATAGTTCTGTTACTTTTTATCATATATTCAATGAGTTGATTCAACGAGTGCAATTTTATTTTGCTCCTTTTTTCAAAATTGATACTTTTTTTTTTTGATAATAATTTTATGTGCGATTAAATTTTTGAATTTGAAAAAATTTAATTAACATACTATATATATATATATAATGATAGTTTATTTGTATAATACTTGAACTTGGCATTAAGCCTGGAAAATTAGAAGATAAATTTCACAACGCATGTATAGATACGAAGCACTAGAAATGCAAAAGTTTAAAGTTTTTGGCATGTAGCCAAATGCAAAAGTTTGTTTTTAACTTAAATTGGTTTCACTGACTGATAATAATTGTCGAATGGTTAAAGTGATGATCGCGCATTGATGTAAACAAACCACATGAAATTTGTGGCATGTTTTTCACGATAATTTCGGTATTATCTTTTTTTTTCCAATTTATGAATGAGAAAATATAAATCTAAACGAATCGATAAATTGTCGATGAACTTTTCAATGGATCATTTTTTTTTTTTTTATTAAATTTTTATTTATTTGTTTATTTATTTATTATAAAACATAATTATGTTTGAAAAATATTTGTTAACAATTTTTTTTTCTTATTCAAGATAAAATTATTTACTAGAATATTTGAAGTACTCTCAAATAAAAAATACATGAATTTCATTTATTTTAAGTCTTTATTTTGTCATAAAAATATTTATTTTTTAGAAATATATTATATACTGAAAAATAATTGGATAAAAATTTTATAAAAAATATAGTACATAGTCATAAAATATATATTTTACTAAAATTGTAAAATTGTAATATGATTTTTGAAAATTCCAATTTGAAACTTGTTATAAATTTTAAAGTTTTCTAAAAATTTTTTTTATACATACGTTTGACAATTTGTATACTTATTTTTTTTTTAAAATTATTTGTAATATTTTTTTTTTTAATCTATTTTTAATTTCTAGAAATTATAATTGTTTGAATAATAATACTTTTATAGATAACTAATGAAAAAACAGCTCTAAAGAGAATTAACAACCAAGGCAAAAAAAGGAAAATTAATGTCTTTTCGTTTTGACTTATTGGGAAAGATTCAATTTAATTTTCATCTTTAAAAAAAAAAAATTGTTGAGTGAAAATTCACTTTTTTAGAAAAGAGAAAAAATTTCTATATGAGAGAGAATAATTTAAAAATTTATAATAATATATTAATATCTTAAAAATTAATATTCAAGTAACGAAAATCGTTAATTAAATTTTAAATACAGACGCGCGCGTACTATTTTTCTGTATTGAGATTTTTTCGAAGTTGCAACTTTAAAAATAACTTTCTACACTGTAGGTTTTAATACACCAAGAGAGATTTTTTAAATCTTTTCCCTGGTATTTTGATCCAGCTTCTTGGGATGCTGCAAATCCTCTTGTACTTCTTTTTCTTCTTCCTCCTCTTCTTCTTGTATCTCTTTTTGCCATAGAACTTTATTAACAGATTCCTTTGTCTCTATTGACATCACAGAGATATTCTTTGGATTTTATATAAAAAATATGTTAATTTTTCTCATTTTTTTTTTTTCATTTATAATCTTGAATGATCTGGATCTTGTATTCTGGGAGGTAATCGAGGTAGTTCTAAAGTTGAATTTTTACCCTCATCATCTATGTAAGTTCTGTTATCGTGTCCTGATTCTGCTGAATCCACTGTTTTATCATTTTGCACGGGACCGTCCATGAAAAACATTGTGAATAGAAACATCAGTGAGCCTGAATAAAAAAAAAAAAAAAAAACAGTTAAAATATATATTAAAAAAAATGTATTATCTTTTTAGATAAATTTGTTTTTTTTTTCAATTAAAATATAAAAATCAAAAAAATTCTACAAAATGAAACTGTTCTTTTTTTTACTTAGTATAAATTCTTTGAAAATCTTTTGTTATGAGGTAAAAATGACATTTTTTTGCACTTACTTATACCATAAAAACCAGCGTAAAAAATATAAAGAGCTTCTCGAAATCCGAGAGCAATTCTCGTTGGTTCAACTAAAATTGGCAAATTTCCTCCTATGTTGTTCATGACAAAAAGAAAAATTCCAACAGTTGTGGATCTTACATTAAGGGGTACAATTTCCACAAGGATTGCAAAGAGAATTCCAAACCACATTTCCGCTAAAAAATTAAATAATAAATTTGTTTTTAATTTAAAAAAAATAGAAATATTTTTTTTAAAATATTAAAAAATATTTTATTGAAGGGAAAAAATAATTAAAAAAGTTTAATGGAAAATTTGATATTTAAAATATTCTTTAAAATAATTATTTAATATTTCAAAAAAAATTTTAAATTATTAACGATATTTAGTAAATTTTATAATTAATTACAATGACCTGTGGTGAAATATGTAGTAATAATAATTGATTATTAAGAAAGAAAAGTTTTATAATGACAAAAATATATATTTGAGAAAAAGTATAGAATCTATATAAATTCTTTTTATAAACTCACCAAAGAAATAAGAAATCCCAAGTGTAATCATAGCCCAAAGTGGATCAAAATAAACTGAACCAAAAGCAAAAGGTGTTGCCACTAATTGGCTTATTGCCAAAACTGCCACTCTTGATTTGATACCCATTTTCGCCACAAATTTATCACTGACAACACCACCTACTACAACACCTATACTTCCAATAACAATTGTCACAGCAAATAACCACCAACCAAGATCATAATCAGGAAAATAATCTCTATAGTATAAATCGCAATTATATGCAAAGCACATTCCACCTGCAAAAAATTTTTTTAAATATTTACAAATTATTTAAAGATTATATATTTTTTTTCATTTTATGACAATTTTTTATATTTAAAAACAAATTTTTAACTAAATTATCAAATGTATTTTCAATACTGTTTTTTTTAGAATAAAAATTGTTTTTTAAAAGTGAATGATATAATTTGAAAACAAAAGGAAAAAAAATTTGTTTACCACAATGCCTGATGCTAGCAGCAAGACATAAAATAACAACGCGTGGTTGGAAAATGACTTTCCAGATGGAAACTTTTTTCTTTGTATTTGTTGTTTCTTCTCCTATTGTCGTTCTCTCTGGTTCTTTTATAGTAAAACCGGTAAGAAAAGCTATAATCACTCCAATGATCCCAGCACCATAGTAACAGACTCTCCATCCCTATAATATAAACAAGGTGTTCAATTCATGAATCAATTTAACAAATATTGGTAAAATGTAAACTTTATATACATCCATTTTTTTATACTTTATATATATACAATATCCGCTGATTGGTACCAGTGGTATACTTATCGCTGATTCAAATTTAGAGAGTACATAATTTTTTATAACATTTTGCGTCAAAAACTCGACTAAATTGCTGTTATGGAAGGGAAAAGTGTGCGTAAAAGTATGATTTCCCCTCCTTTTAAGCACACTGTGCATAAAAGACAGCGATTTAGTCGAGTTTTTGACGCAAGTTGTTATAAAGAATTTTTTTTTCAACAATTAAAAAATTATATAATTTATAGATTTTATGTAAAATATAGACTTTATATAAGTTAATCAATTTGTTTTAATGCGAGAAATCAGTTTTTTGGACAAAAAAATTTCAATTTTTCTTAGACAGACGATTTTATTGCAAATTCTATCACAAAATACACCTAAAAGTGTAGAAAAAAATTGAGATCCAAATCCAAGTAGAGGAAGATACCTATTACCACCCATAAGGCATTTACAATCATAAAAAAGTTCCCAATAAAATTGAATTTTTCTTAGGCAGACAATTTTATTGCAAATTCTTGCACAAAATACACCTAAAAGTGTAGAAAAAAATTTAGAAATCAATATGTAAAAAATCAATTTTGACAAAAAAATTGTATTTACTGTGTCAAAAAATTTTTAGTTAAAAAACGTATTTTCGTATTTTTGAAAAAGTGACATAAAAAAAATTTATGTGGATATTTTTGGAATTCCAAGCTTTTATCTTGACAATTGGCAGCAAGATAAAAAAGTTATTGCTCAATGCATAAAAACTTGAAAATCAAAGTCAAACAGTTTCAGTATTTTTTCAAATGCAAGACAAATAACTGAAATTAAAAAAAAATAAAAAAAATTTAATTTGTTCAACTATTATATATCTACTATAAATTTTTTTCAAGTTTTTTCATCCCTTAATACTGTAATATATTTGAGGAAACTTTTTTCTTAAAACTTTCTTAGAAACTATGCTGTCCCCATTTACCCCGAATTTTATGAAATTTTCTAAATTTTGGGGTAAATGGGGACAGTCAGTTTTATGCGTTTAAAGCTTATCTAAATTTTTTTCTGCTGCATAAAATTAATCCTGGGAACGTAAATAACAACTTAAAAAAATATAAACCCGCAAATATTACCTTTTAAAGGAAGAAACTTACGTAATTTGTGAAAAATAGCGATTTTGTCCACATTTACCCCAACTGACCCTAATTTAATTTATTTTCTAGAAAATGAAAATTTTGAAGTTTTGGAAAAAAAAATTCTTACTAAATTCCAGGCATTAGCTTGTGGTACGTATCGACCAACTGGAAAAGCGATTCCGTATCCTCCATAAATGCCCCAATTAAAAATTGACATAACTAGGCCTCGCTGCTCCTCATTAAACCAATCTGAGATGAGGCCAGTGGCCATTGGATTACATGCTGCTTCACTATTACAAAAAAAATCAGAAAAGTGTTCAAAAAAAGTTTTTTTTAATTGTGTGTGATGTAACCATTAAAAAAAGCGCATGATTGTCCCATAAAAATCATTTGTTAGAATTTTAATTTTAAAGAATTTTATTAGATATAATTATTTAGACGAATTTTCATTTTTTAAATTAGCATTTAACAGAATTTCTTTTTAAATGAATTTTAATTTAACAAAATTTCTAGGTACTGAATTTTTATTTTGCAAACTTTTTATTTAACCGAATTTCTTTTTACCCAATTTATTATTTAAAAGAATTTTAATTTAGCCGAATATTAATTTAACAGAATTTTAAGTGATTCGAATTTTTGAATGTAAGAATTTTTATTTGTAAATTTTAAAAATTGTACCAAAATCTTTCTCTCTATTGTTTGTTCTCGATTTGTTCGGGCATTTGCATTTTCGGACTAATGAAAATTTGGCGTTTTATAAGAATTCGATTAATCGTAATTAACGCTTGCGCATTACACGATCATTCCCTTCTGTCAAACAAAAATTCGGTAGTTATAAATTTTATGTAAAAATTGTAAAAAAATTTTAAAATGAAAATTATATTTCATGATTTTTATGGGATAATCATGTGCCCTAAAAGAAACATTTTGTGAAAAATTTTAAAATTTATTATTAAGAATGATAATTAAGGGGGGTTGAAAGGGGTCAAAAATTGCGTGACGTATTATGTGCATGACCCCAGAATAAAAATTACTTCAGTTTTTCGTTGATTAAAGTATATCTAATATACTTAAAACTGAAATAATTCAATCATAATTTTTTTTTGATATTATCAAATATAGGAGTAACTTACATTCAAAGCATTTAAATTAACAGTCTGCTTTTGTCATTTGAATAAGATGGTTGTACAAAAAATGAAGTTTAGAAATCTATTTTTTGTGTTTTACATTTTTTGGAAAGAAATCCTATAGGAATATCATCAACGAATGATTATTTTGATGGATTGATAAAGTATTTGAAAGAAGAATCAAAATTGTATCAGACAGTGTTTATTTTAGACGACGAACAAGAAAATATGGATCCAATAATGAATTTTTTTATGACAACAGTCAATTCACATTTTCCATCTTTGAGCATCAGTGATATAGTGAACTATTTAACGAAATTGAAGAACCATACTTAAAGGTTTTTAATCGATCTAGACATACTACACTGTTTATTTTACAGTGGATTAATGAAACAACTAATTGATTTCTATTTATTCTTACATGTAAGGCAAGGTTTACTGTTATATCGACCATTAAAACCAAGATGTTTAGTTGTAAACTCTAATTTTTCAACACATGATTACATTAACAGAACTCTGCATTTATGGTGGAATGAAAAATATTTGGATAATATTTTATTGACGTACGATAATAAACGCCAAATAACTGTCAAACTAACTTTCAAAAAATTACCTACTATTAGTCACATAAATCCTTTTACCAATAATTACTCTGCTCAGGAGATATCAGCTCAAAGTCAATGGTTTCCAAATAAATTGTTGGATCTAAATAGATTTAAATTGGACATATCCATTCCAGCACCTAATAATGGTAAATCCATACAAGAATACAAAAAATTAATGAAATTAACTAAAATTTTGGGACAAGTGATGAATTTTGAACCTGATTTAGAACCAAACTGCAGAGAGGAGATTATAACAATACGCGATGGTGTAATTTGTGGTTATTATGTGAATGAAATATGTGGAATAGAGCAAGAGATACTGATCAAAAGCAAAATTAATGTGCTTCATATTAGTGATCGTATTAATATGCGAATTCTAGAGTTTATTAGTGCAAAAGCTATTATTCCACGAAATGCATAACTTGCTAATGAAATCGAACTTTCATCAGAATTTTGGAATATGATCGTGGCAACAATATTATTGGTTTAGTTGCAATAATACGAATAACGGTATTTTTATTAAAATTCAAATGGCAGACTTTGAATATCAGTCAAATTATAATTGGAATGGGTACTGAGAATGAACCCCAAAATTGGTTAGAAAGAATAATTTTCGGCTCACTTTTAATTGCATTCATTGCCTATACAAGTTATTTTTACACTATAATTTTTGACATTAGTTTTCGAAGTGCTCCTGAAATTTCAACAATTGCTGAACTTGCTAAATCATCTTTGGTACCAGTCATAATTATTAATTCTTCGTATCTATATAATATGTCATATCATAATAATTTTGATATGGAAAAATTGTTTAAGAAATACGACAATCGTGACAAAGATTATTATCTCGATGTAGAGGAAAATTGTCTGAAATAATTGGTAGAACATCAGAATATAACATGTATCTTTCATGAACCTACTAAACACATCATTAACATATATATGAAGCTAAGTATGGCAAAACAAATAAGTTTAAAATATTGCAAGAAAATTTTGAATATGGTACGAATAGTTTCATTGCTAAAGAAAGTTATTCACCCTTCATCATTCGTTTTAATCAAGTAATTCTAAGAGCTTCAGAATTTGGTTTACTTAAAGATTTTTATGATACTCTTTTGTACTTCTAATAACAAGTAATAATTTGGAAGCTGAACTAATAACAAAAGAAAAACTCATACCTATATTACTTTTTGTACTGATCACTGGATATTCTCTTTCGATAACACGGTGCTACAAAAATTTTCTTTTAGATATACTTCTGATGAAACCTATTGGAGGTTGTAGGTCACAAAAAACTAAGAAGAATGGTGTATATAAAATTCTCCAAACACCCCTAAATTTTCATTTTAGAGGCAGAAAACCATTTTTACGTACCTATGTTTATGCATAAAAACCTTTGTAACTTTCTTATTTCTGCACCGATTTCAAAATTTTTTTTTCATTTTGAAGCTAAGAAACAGAGCTTTTTAGCCCATATTCGATATTTTTGTTTAAATTAATATTTATAAGAGAAAAATTACAAAAATTTTCAGATGTTGTCATTTTTCTCGCAATTTTTCAACTTTAACTGATGTTTTCATCGTTAATTTTAATTTTAACATTTTTTCACTTCTAGCGCTATTAAAGCGTATTAAATTCTACATCCAACGAGCCCTATTTGAATAGATTTTGTAAAAATTTAACTTGTAGTTTTTCTCATTACAGGTCTAGTAGCTGATTCAAGAACATTACAGTTTTCTTTTCTTTTTCATTCTTAATTGTTTATGTATAGTATTTGTCAAGTTCTGACAGTTTTTATTTCATGTTGGTCATGCTAACAATAAGTTTTTTCAACAAATATTAATTTTACAAATGAACTGTAAACGAACACGATTGGATAAAAATACTCCAAGTTATGAAGGTTTTACTAATTTTTATTTTTTATTTATCTTCTTGTACATGTTCATTTATGTCTTCGTTTAATAAAAATTGAAAATCTTATAGACTGCGCAGTAGTTTTCTTACAACTTTACAGCTGTGCAATAATTCTTAGCATACATAAGTAAAGAGTTTTAATGGTTCTCAATTAATAAAATTTCAAATTTTTTTTAAAAAAAGTTTTTTTTCAAATGATATTGTATAAGGACATGAACGGTTTCATGTGTGAGTACATGTACATGAACCTGCATAAGAATATGTAGAAGAACATGTACATTTTCTTGTATACAAATATTAAATGTTTTTTCTTGTACAAGACCTGTAAAGAGAATAACTACAATAATTCAGTTAATTTTTTATAAAATCTATTCAAATATGGCGCGTTGGATGCAGAATTTAATACGTTTTAATAGCACTAGAAGTGAAAAAATGTTAAAATTAAAATTAACGATGAAAACATCAGTTAAAGTTGAAAAATTGCGAGAAAAATGACAACATCTGAACATTTTTGTAATTTTTCTCTTATAAATATTAATTTAAACAAAAATATCGAATATAGGCTAAAAAGCTCTGTTTCTCAGCTTCTAAATGAAAAAAAAATTTTAAAATCGGTGCACCCGGAGAAAAATGGAAAAACGAATAAAGTAACTTTTACTACTTTAAAAGTAAAATTGGACCTGTCCGAAGTTTCTGCGCATCTCTGGCAACTTTTACTCCAAAAATAGTAAAATTGACTATTTCTGTAGTAAATTTTACTGTTTCTGTAGTAATTTTTACTATTTCTGAAGTAAATTTTACTATTTTTGGAGTAAAAGTTGCCAGAGATGCGCAGAAACTTCGGACAGGTCCAATTTTACTTTTAAAGTAGTAAAAGTTACTTTTTCTTTTTTTCCGTGCAGAAATAAGAAAGGTACAAAGGTTTTTATGCATAAACATACGTAAAAATGGTTTTTTCTGGCTCTAAAATGAAAATTTAGGGGTGTTTGGAGAATTTTATATACACCATTCTTCTTAGTTTTTTGTGACCTACAACCTCCAATAGGTTTCATAAGAAGTATATTAAAAAAAAAAAATTTTGTGGCACCGTGTAATTGTTTTTCTGGCTGAAATAATTACAGCCAAGATACGAAGAAAATTTTTCGACGAGCGAAGATTTCGATTTGAACTCTAGAAAGATATAAATGTTATTGTTTCTGATAATAAGAAAAGGATTTTGAAATTTTTTTAAACTTGTTACTCGGAGGTTTTTTTTAAAAAAAAACAAAAAATATGAATTTCAAAGGAAGTGAAATGTGAAATTAATTAAAGTGAAATGTCTTTTGGATCATTTTTTAATCTTATCTCGTTCAAATCATATTAAAATATATTTGTATTAACTGCTACCGATTAATGTGATGTTAACATTAAAAATCACATTTATAAAAAATTTCCTTCCCGTGTGAGTGTGTGTGTGTGTGTATATAAATTATTGTAAATTGGTAGGTCTCACAGGCTGACAAATAATGAGAGTATTTTGAGCCATATTATAATATAATATGGCTCAATACCCTATTTATTTATAATTTCAAAATTTTTGAATAATCAAAAATTTTGGATCTTGTTTTTAAATAAGTTTCTGCATCTAGAATGAACCTCCTTAATTAAATCTTAAAATTTTTCGCATAATGGTAATTTGTTTTATTAAATTAAAAATATTTTGAATTTTTTTTTTTAAATATCACTTGTATCGATAAAGAAAGTTTGGATACATACCCAGCTGCTAGAATCATTCTAAGTACAACGAGATGCCAATATTCTTTGACTGTTCCCATTAAAATAATTGCTATGCTAAATACTAATGTACAAATTGACAACATTCTCACTCTGAAATCATAAAAATTTTTTTTTTTTTATTTAATTAAAATATTTTAGCTCATCTTTGAAATAAAAGAAACTTATACATAAGGTGTGAAACTTTCAGAATAAAGGTATGTAATCTTATTTTGAGAGGATTACTGTTATGTGAGTGCGGATATAAGAATAAAAAATATTTCCTTGATTTGAAAAAAAGTTTTCATTCTTTTAGAAAGAGATTTTATTTTATTCAATAAATTCCTGTTTACTTAAAAAAAACACTTAAATATAATATTCTTTAATAATCAAAGAAAATTTTGATTAAAGTAAATAGAAAAAGAAAACCAATTTGTTGAATAAAAAAATTTGTTTTCTAGTCATAATTATAGAATGAATTTGACAAAAAGAATTTTATATAAAATAATCCATTTAAAGTTTATATATATACATTTATGTAAGTTTAATAGTCTGCAAAAGGCGTTTTAATAATTAAATGTCAATCAACACGAAAATTTAATTATTGGTTTACGAAAGTTTTGTTTTATATCTATAATAGAAAAAAAGTAATTTTCTCTGGTTAGAGAAATTTTTATTTTGAAATTAATTAAAAAAAATGTTTTATTGCATAATGGAGTAAGACTTCTCCTTTCTTTTTCACTATTAATCTCCTAAATTAATAAAACACATTTAATAATTCTTGCCTGTTAAATCTGTCAGCTACAAATCCAAGAATAACGCCAGCAATTGTGAAAACTGCAATGAAACTTGGACCAGCAAGTATTTGATAATCAATTCCGAGTCCATTGTAATTCCACTCGCAATATTTCGTACCATTTAATTCCAATGAATCGCAGCTGAAAAGTATTATTAAAACGTTTTATTTCAATTTATTATTACTATGCTGATTGTGAGTTAAAATTTGTAAACTGTGTCAATATTGTTTTGAAAATTCAAAAATTTTTTCATGAAAATTAACCTTTTTTCTATATTTAAATCAATAAATAAAGAAATAAAAGTTATATATTTTTTTTTTTGTTGCATATTACTCGTAAAATAAACTGAAATCATTCCCTCAGTCAAGTAACCGATTATTTGAATCAAATAAATTTTTTTTTCAGTTTACCTTCGGTTAAAAGTTAAAAAAAATTTTCTAACTTTTAACCAAAGGTAAATTTTTCTTTTTGAGAATGATTTTAGATAGTTTTACGAGTAATATTTCAAAAAAAAAATATTTCAATAATCGAGGGAGAAGTTAGATTAATTTTTGTTTGTTAAATACACAGAAAATTAAAAGGCATTAAAATAAGCTGCAACACTTATTATTTTAATCCAATTTTGCTTATTTTAATCCATTTTGGTATTAAAATAAGCAAAATTGGATTAAAATAATAAGCGTTGCAGCTTATTTTAATGCCTTTTAATTTTCTGTGTATTCCATAAAAAATGATAAGTTTAAATTTTCAATTTAAAGAATTTTATTATATATGTAATTATTTTTTAGACGAATTTTCATTTTTCGAATTCGCCTTTAACAGAATTTATTTTTTTAAACAAATTTTTAACAAAATTTGTAGATACCGAACTTTTATTTCACAGAGTCAAATTAGGTTTAATTTAGTTTTGAAATAGGTTAATAGTAGGTTTAAAGTGAGTTAAAAGTACAGGTATATACAATGTAGGTTTAAAGTAGTGTAAATTTATTTGTAGAAAAACTAAAATTTAAAATATCAAGTTTGTTAAAATATTTTTATATAAAATTTTTATATATGAATTGAAATTATTATTTTGTAGTAAATTATTTTATTGAAATGGAATAATTTTTTTCCTCTTAATTAACATTGTTCTCTGATACTTGAAAAGAAAATTTCGTCTCACCTGACGTTTTTATAAATTTCAATTTGTCTTGAACGTCTTAAATTAAATTTTTTTAGTCGCATATTGAATACTTCTTCCTATTCGTAAAAATCTTTATAATAGGAAAATATTTTATATAATAGATACGGTTGATTGCAATATTTTTTTTCATATTCGAATATAGTCAATGTTTTACACCTCACTGAACCTATATTATTATATATGTTGAATCATGATATTTTTTTTTTTTTTTTTGTTTTTTCTCTTTTTCCTTAACAATGAACTTGTCCAAAGTGAGGTCACAGGAAACATCATATGAGAGAGGATAATTTTAAATATCTACGTGTCTGCGTCAATGAGTTATATAAAGTGAAACAAAACAGAAAAAAGTAATTTCCACTTCATTGGTTTTTTTTTTTCCCTCAAGGACGTTACTTACTATTCCGAATTGTTTGCTGCTTCACATTGAACCGGAAGATCGACCAAAGAAAAATCCGTTGAATTTAGTTGACAGGAAATATCACCGTAGTGCAAATCTATTGCCGTTGCTTTACTAGTAACTCCTGTAAAATTAATTTATTATTATATAGTTGAAGAATTTTATTTATTTTTGAAATGAATTGCTTTTTTCTTTTAAATGTGTAATAAAAATTCTGTTTAATTCGAAACAATTAAATTAATTAGTTTTAAAAAATTTTCTCTCTCGATTTTAAATTCATGCAAATGAATTTTTTTTTAATAATAATAAAACGAAGTGGTAATTGTTTTTTAATGGTTTCACTGGATTCTCTGCATTATAAATCAATGATAATTTAAAATTTACTGTTTAAATTATGATTCACCACAATTATTATTAAAAGATATTTTTTTAATTAATATAGTTATTTTATTTATATATAAATGTATATTTATATTGTGTAATATTTTATATATATATATATATTTATTAATATAAATTGTTTTATTCAGATTTTAATCATTAACTTACCAATCAAATAGTGTCCCAACTCTCCAAGAACATATCCAATTGAAACTATTGCTAAAGCATAAGGTTTATAAAGAAACCTTAAACTTTCGGCCACTCTTTTATACATTTTTGCCTGTTGAAAAAAAAAAACTTTTAGAAAACTTTTTCATACTTATAGAAAATTTATCTACATCAAAAAAATTGAAATTCAAAATTAAAATTTAAATAAATGTGAATCATGTAATTCAACTTTAAATTCTTTCAATTTTTTAAAATTTCTTCAGAATTTTTCTTTCATATTCTTTTTATCATAAAAATCGATTAATATAATGCATTTTTTTTTTTTTTTTTTTTTTTTTTTTTTTAATAAAATATATGATTATTTACATAATAATTATATTTCAATAAATTCAATTAATATTGCATATTTGTATTGTGTATTACAATAATATTTGTTTGAAGAAATTTATTAATAATTATATCAATAAATTAATTATTTAATTATTTATATGTTTATGTACATATATGTAAAAAATAAAAGTCAAGCGGAAATGCCCACGTAATATATCAGAATCGAGAATATATAATATTCGAATGTAATCTAATATTGGAGATGAAAAATATCAACCTATATGATAGTTACAGTTATGAAACTGCATTATTTTAAATATTCATGAATCCTGAACATTGGATCTTGTTTATACTCCCTTCTTTATACCGCAAACACACCTTTTTTCTCTCTCTCTCTCTCTCTCTCCCCTCCCCCCACAACCCATTTTATTTCCAATAAACACACCCCCGACTTAAAAACATCATCTCCATTCTAATTTTGCATTCAAGGTTTTTCCGCTTTGCGTGGAATAAAAATATTGCAAATTAAAATATGAAATCGGCCCGCAATTGTTACTTTTTAGATATTGTCTAGGATAATGAATGAAAAAAAAAAGTGAGAAGAAAAAAAAATAATTTGCAAAGACCTTGTCACATCGATATACATTAAAGTCATTTATCTTAACGATCATGTTCATTTGCGAGTATTGTTATAATTTCTTGTCGCTGCTAAATGTTGTAAAAAAAAAATTTTTCCTTCGCACGAGTAATAAGTATATAAATTTAATAAAAAACTAGATTGATTAGTCTACAACTTCCTTTTTTTTTATTTCATATGTATAATAGATTCATTAGATTAATTCATATAATCAATTAGTTACCACAGTGATTGAAGATTTTCTTTAATTGAAAGAGAAAACTTTTTTTTCATTATTTAAAAGAATTATTATATTACACCGTCCGATAAAATTCAACTTTTTTTTTTTGACACACAAAAAAATCCAACATTTTCGGAAACTAGGACCCAAAAAAAAATACTCGTGTCTGGCTGTTTTGCTAGATCAAGTCGTTTGTGGTTTTTAGGGGTGAAACAGCCCCTAAGTAAAAAGTGACAAGATATCTTTTAAAAATTATTAATATTTTATAAAACTTGGTATCTGGGGGTTTTTGGGGTCGCTGATTATTAATCTGATGTCAGATTTTCAAAATTCAAAATGACGGCTTCAATATGGCGGTCAAAATTTTAAAAAGTTATTAAATTTTTTTTAATCCTTGGTATCTAGGGGTTTTTTGGGTCGCTAATGACGAATCTGATGTTAAATTTTCAAAATTCAAAATGGCAGATATAAAATAAAAAATTAATAACTTTTTACAAATTTGATCGTCATATTGGATCGGCCATTTTAAATTTTGAAAATCTGACATCAGATTAATAATCAGTGACCCCGAAAACCCCCAGATACCAAGTTTTATAAAATATTAATAATTTTTAAAAGATATCTTGTCATTTTTCATTTAGGGGTTGTTGTCACCCCTAAAAACCAAAAAACGACTTGATCTAGCAAAACGGCCAGACACGGGTATTTTTTTTTTGAGTCCTAGTTTCCGAAAATGTGAAATTTTTTTGTAGGTCAAAAATTGTGTCGGACGGTGTTATTATTCTAATATTAAAATAAAAAAAAATAATAAAAATTATTAAAATAAAATAAATTTTAATCGAAAAATTTTTTGTAAAAAAAAAAAAAATTGGTACTCAAAGAGTTAAATCAATATTGTCCTATAGTGTAAAAAAAAGAATTTTTATTCAAAAATTATTTTAGTCAAATTTAAAAATGGTGGTTTTAAAAAATTCGTAGTTATTTAAAAATTAGGTAATAATAAAAAGTAAAATATTGTAAAAGTACAATTATTTTATAGCAAAAATCGAAATAAGGGTCGAAATTCTATTTTTCCTCAGAATAAACATGTTATTGACTTTAAAATATTTTCTCACTGCAGACATCTTATTTTTCTTTGGACTTTTTTTTTCATTTTCTCCCTATTGCCATAAAGCATCGTTTTTTTCATCCTCTCTAATGGAATTCCCATAATGAAAAATTTCACAGGAATAAAAATATAAAACCATATTATATATAGGCAATTTCATGTGAGATTTACCTATGCACATTTCATAAATATCTCGAATACTACAATAGCAAGGCATGTTAATTAATAATAACTGCGAAGTGAGTGAAAATGTATATATATTTATTATAACAGCTGAGAACTGAAAATTTTGATTTATGACTGATATATGATTTTATAAAGAATATTTATTTTATAACTAATGGCACCAGAAAAAACGTTTAAATTACGTTAAATTATGTTTTTTTTTTTGTATTATCAATCACAGAAAATTAAAAGGCATTAAAATAATCTGCAACGCTTATTATTTTAATACAATTTTGCTTATTTTAATCCATTTTGGTATTAAAATAAGCAAAATTGGATTAAAATAATAAGCGTTGCAGCTTATTTTAATGCCTTTTAATTTTCTGTGATAATGTATTTAAATTAAAGCTCTATAACAATTTTTTATCAACAGCATAATCAATTATTGTTTGGAATTATATACAAATTTACCATAAATGCAATAAACAAATTTTCAAGGATTTGAAATTGGAGAACAAATAAGTAAATAAATAAATAATGTTTATATAATTTGATAAATGATATCAAGTCAATTGTCAGTTCTCAAATTCTGTAATTATTCATTTGTAATGTGTCATACCTTGTGACTAATTACATTTTTATTAGATTCAGTTTTTTCCTTTTTTTTTTTTTTTTTTTTTTTGGAAAATTATTTTTTGGTTTAAAATCTATTTTAAAGGAAATTAATCGCGAAATTGATAGAAAGGAAAATTCTGATAATTAATTATTTTATAAATAAGTCTTGATTATGAATCAAGCTCAATATTAAATTGAATAGGAAATTACTTGAACTTGTCAAAATCATACGCGACTTCAAGCCAGTTAATTAATTCGGATATTCTCTTAAGTGAAAAATCTAATTACGTTATTATATATATATATATATTGATCCAATTTTCATCATATTATTATGAATTTTATTAATTAAAAAAAATATCTTTTGAAATTTGAGGCTTTTATCATCAAAGCATTAATATTTTTCATGGTGTGAAATAAAAAATTTTCACACACCATAAAATTATTGTCTTTTTTATTTTTATACATATTTTCAATTTTTACTATCATCATTATAATTATATAATAATAAAATGCTTGGTCTGTCCTTCTGTCCTAACTTGAAATTGGCCTTTTCTGATTTCACGTGTTTTTTTGAATAGTAATCTTATAACATGTCAAATTTTGACAATTCTTTTTCTAATTTTTGCCAAAGTTGTATAATTGTGTTTCCAAATTTTGGAATAAGTTTCTTTAAAATTCCAAATTCGAAAATTCAATTCACGAAGCTAAAGTACACAACGTTTATCAACGAAATTTTTCTTTAAAGTTGTATATTCATTCAAAAATTGTATACAAATACAAAAAATTTATGATCAGAAAAAAGATGCGCCAGGAAATTTCGTACAAGATAGTAATTTGAAAAAAATTAATTTTTAAAAATTGATTTTTAAGGTACCAGGGGCAAACGAATACCTATTAAATATTAATTATAAAAACACAAGCCTCGAATCAACTTAAAGACACAAAAAGTCGTTTTAGTCGATTTATATTCCAAAAAAAAGTGGATTTGTTTTTTATTTTAACAAAAAATATTTTACAGATTTTTAAATAAAAATTTTTTTTTAATAATAATCCTTTTCGAAGGGTAAAAGTTGAAATTTTTAGAAATAATTAAATTTTAAAAGATATTGTTAATTTTCAAACAATTATTAAATTTTACAGAACTAAAAATAATTTATCAAACAATTTTTGGAAAACATTTTTTAAATTGAATTGAATTTTCAAAGATTTAAAATTGAGATTTTTGAAATTAATTGAAACTTTAAGTGTTTTGTAATTAAAATTTTAGATAATTTTACTAAAAATTTATTAGAAATGCGGACAAAATACAATAATTTGAAAATCATTTTTAATTGAAAAATGGTTTCAGATAGTTGAATTTTCAAAGAATATTATTAAAATAGTTAAAAATAATTGAATTTCCTTAGAGTTATAATTGAAATTATTAAATTTCAAAAAAAAAAAATTTTCGATGGAAAATTTTAGAAATAATTAAATTTTAGATGCTTTTAAATTCAAATTATTAAAAATTCAATTAATTTTTAATTCAAATGTTTGAGAATAATGAAATTTTATTTGATTGAAAATTTGGATAATTAATTTTGAATAGAAATTTTAGAAAATAATTGAATTTTATTTCATTTTAAATTGAAAACTTGGTAAATAATTAAATTTTGGATAATTATTGGATTTTTAATTGATTTTGAATTAAAATTTCGGGTAATAATTGAATTTTAGTTTATTTTGAATTGAAATTTTTAAAAAATAATTCAATTTTATTGTGATATTTTTTTTTAAATTATAAACAATTGTTAAATTTCATAAAAATTTTAATTGAAAAATAATTTTGATATAATTGAATTTGTGATGTATTTCATTAAAATTATTAAAAATAATTAATTTAGTGAAGAATCATTTTAGTTCAAAATTTGTTAAATAATTGAATTGAAGAAGATCTGAAGAAGATATAAATTTTATACTAAAAAAATGTATTTTATTTACATTTTTTTTCAAATGTAAAAAAAAATGTCGCATTTTATTAAAATAAGTCGATAA